AGAACCATAGATGTCTGTATAAACAGTAAAATACAATATTTTTTTTTAAAGTAATCTTGAAAATCTTTATCTGGGGATATTATTTGATATTACCCAGTTGAATTTATTTCTTTTTCAGAGATACAGTAACAACTTTGTCTTTTATGTACTTCAGTTATTTTAGTATCTCAAAATACACTTGGCCATGCCACATCTACATTTTGATATTTTTGTATCTCACCACAGTCTAATTTTTAAGATTGACATAAAATAATCAGTAAAGTGTATATTGAGCAGTACATTAAACGGATGTTAAATCACTACCAGTTTAACAGGTGTTAAGCCTCTTAGTTAAGTAATTAGTATTTTTATTAACATGGAAGAAAAGATGAGAGCACAGCTAGTAAAGTCTGCAGATGATGCACAGCTCTGTGGAATGATAAACAGTACTGAGAAACAGCCAGCTATACACAGATGGATTCTTTTGTAAGAAAGGGAATTATCAAGAAGTGTGTGAACATCATGTGCAGGTCACACACCTGAAAACAAAAAATTGTAAGTCACTTACAGGTTGGAATACTGTGGAAAGCACTCACACAGGAAGTGGTAGACATGCAGGAAGAACTTGAGCTCTCAGTGCAGTGCAGCAGGCAACACTATAGATATAAAATGTAAAGATACATACACGCTACTTATTATTCCAGCAACCTTCCTGCAAACTTTCTTAGCAACACCTCTTTTTTTTTCTCCTAATGCAGATCATTGGAAGCAGGCAAATTAGTATAATCATATTGTATTATATTGTACTGTATTATATTGAATATAGCAATAGTATTGTGAAACATTTTGGTTCTTAATACGAACAGAAGAGGTTGAAAAACTGCAAAGATTACGGAGTTACAAGTAACTTAAAATAAATAATGCCTATTTTATGATGACAGTTATGAAAAAAATAGTCTATGCTACTTGCTTAAGAAAAAAGATATTTTTTAATTATAATGGGTGAGGATTTCTGAAAGTAAAAAGCATTTTATCTTGAAAAAGCAACAAAATTCTGCAATCTAAAACTGAACAGTGAAATTACATCAATTCAGATTGTTGGAAATAGGGCATAATTTTTAGAAATGGAAACAGTTTATAAAAATGTATGGTAAGTTTCACATCAATGACTTTTTAGAAGTACTGACACCTAATGACCCCTGATTTAAATGTGAATTCGGTGATCAGATCTCTTCATATCCTACTCTCCCAACATCCTTATTCCAGAATCAGTTTAAGGGACTAATTTCATTTTCTTTGTAGCATTTTATGAAACTTTTGGGTAGACATACTAAGACACAGGAAAATTACCCTAATATATGCTTTAGAGTAAGCAAGAGATAGTTATGCTAATTGCCATTGTTAAAATAACAGCTTGGAGATTCTCTTATCTGAAGAAGTGGAGTTACAAAGGAGAGCTTCAGACTATGTGAATTCCATCCCCTTTCTACAATTTCCAAGGCTGACTAATTAGAAGATTCTTTTTTAACAGATAATGAACAAACTTTGCCATATTGGTTTAAAGCTTTTAAGTATGCTTAATTTCTCTATTAATTCTAGTAATAATAGTTGCAGTCTTAAGAATCTTTTAATATATTCACAAGTATGAAAATATCAATCACCATCAGTTGGGTATGTCTGAAGGATGTTTGGCAGATTCAGGAAGTGACCATGAGAGATAAGACTAATAACATTACCTGAAGTAAAACACCAGACCATGAAGACATTTCTACTTCAGAAATCCTATTCCTTACCAGCAAAATCTCCACAGAGCCCAACAAAATTATGACTAAATAACCATTTCAAAGAATGATTTTATTAAACAGTTTCCCAGGTTTGTTACAGCTTTGCATACAATTTACCAATTCTCTAAGTACAATGGGGTAAGGAAATTCAGGAATCTAGAAAAATATAATCTGGGTAGTATTTGCATTGCATGAATATTGGTATTCAAAGGTTTTGACATGAGAGCATTTATGTATGAGATAAGAAGGTCTTGTGGCACTATCTAAACTAATAAATTTCCTTTATTCCAGGGCTAAATTCCTACAGGAATAGCAGGTAATATGAGAGCATACTGTATATCTGGCCCCCTGTGGATCTTGCAACATCTTTTCTAGTCTTGTGTTCTTTCAAACCAGACAGATATGGATGATACATTAGCACTAGTTTTTCCTTTCTGAAGTTCATTGACACAGACTTTTTTTCTTCCTGTGGATTTAATTTAATTTATGGAAGACAAGAGCATTCACTTTCCATTTCTAATAACAGTTCCTAAGAACACTAGCTAGACAAGCAATATTTGCATACAAAACTGAGTATCATATTCAGAGGATATGAGTTATTAAAAGCACTGCCTACATTAAAATATGTTAAGCATTCAGTTATTCTCTCAGATGTAAAATAAGATAGATCTCTGCTGGGAATGTTGACTGAAGGTCTCCTCAGACATCCAGGCTGGATTAAGCATCAGAAACAATAGCAGATTTGGGTTTTCTATTTACTGTACTAAACCAACCTTGTCTATAAACTCCTTATTGCTGCAAACTAAAGGTATGTGTCTGGGGAGGGCAAGCTTTTCCCCTTGATGTTCCAGGGCATGGAAACACAATCCTTTTTCAGACACAGATGTTTGCAATAGAAAACTTTCACTCTGCTCTCTTCTGTTTTTAATCTGCTCATGACAGGAAACACAGATTCAAAATGAATGTAAAGAACACAGCCACCACAACTGACAATAATACAAAAGAACATGTAGGAAAGATTTCTTTTTCCCAGTATATCATAGGGAGAAAAGGCTTACAGATTTCAGAAGATTCTAGGTGCTTTTGTTTCCAAGTGGCTACCAGTATAATGTTTTTCCATGAACTTCACAGAAGATAGTTTTCTGTGATGTTATGATACTATCAGCAGATTCAGCACACAAAGGATAATATCTTTTCATTCTCTCTGCCAGATCTTCAGTGCATTCAAATGGCTGTTCAGCTAAAGCTTTGTTGAGCAGGCAGATTTATAACAATGGACAAACTCCTCCATAGCATACGTAAAATGAAAAAGGTAAGAGTAGTGGATTCATTGAGGCTTTCCAAAATTTCAAAGATGTGCTTTTAAACCACACCAACATATATGTCTGAAGGGGTTTTTTCTTTGTATAGAAATGTGAAGAGAGGGACTGGATTCCTTGTGCTTTTTATTTGCCTGTTCCAACTTCACCTCTGATTCTGTATTCTTTGGATTCCACCCTACCTAGTCTCCAATCTCTGTCATTTCAAGTTTGCCAAAATGTCCTTTTCTTGCTTTTTTTGTTCGCATCTTTCTAGCATCCTTTGTTAAAAAAAAAAAAAAAAAAAAAAAAGCAAATCACATTATGCAATGCACAATTTTGCATACAGTAATGTCTGCCATCTCATTTATCACCCTGTACATCATATGCTTGACCAAGGTATGTCGTGAACGTGCCCTATTTTAGACAGTACCAGAGAAATACGATGGCAAAGTACAATTCGCCTAGCATCACACAAGAACTTTAGGACAAGTGGCAGGGAATAAATTTAGATTTTTGAAACGTATTCACTTTCTTTAATCATTTCTCCCTTTTATAGTTAGCTGCCATTGCCAACAAACAACTTCTGATTTTTACATCAAACAAGAGAAAGAGGCTGTGGACAAAAACCTTAGAGTACTACACACATCCCTAAGTTTACCAAGGCTGAATCCTGTGTAAGGCACTGCCTCTTAAAAGCTTTATGAAAATACGTATTTTATTACCTACAGCCCTATCATGGAGGTCTTTCTACCCACCCACCACTTTAACCCTGCTCCCTCCTCCCTCCAAAAAATGTAGACTCTGTTCTGCTGATAGCACTGTCATGCCTTTCACTCATCACTTAGGCATATCCCAAAGTCATCTCTTCAATCTTTTGATGGCTATTTTCTTCAGGTTTTTCGTCAATTTTTCAGTATTTTTTCCTAATCAAGGACACACAAAGTGAACTTTGTATCTACTGTTCAATACTCCAGTAGTAAGAAAAATAATTCATCATTTCAGAAACAGGATTGCAGTAGATATAATTATTTGTCCAACACAAATTCTAGGTCTTTCAGCAAAGAAGACTTGACAATTTCAGACTTGGTTCTGATTGAAGAGGAAAAAGAAACAAGTACCTGAATTCATGTTTTTATTCCAGTTTCAGTTTTTTTTTTAATATATTTTGTTTTGGCAAACTCTGATTATCAGAATGAATTGAGTGATGGCCAAGTTTCTGCTGTTATTTACTTGTGTCAAGGGCAGATTTCAACTATGAATTATTCAGTATATTCTAGATCACCACTGACCCTACTGAGTAGGGTAAAGCAAGGGCTACTGTAGAAGTTCACCACAGAAGTCCACTAAAAAGTCTCCCAATTCAAATTCGACCAGTATTTTTGGAAAGCTGTCAGCTAATCAGCCCTTAGTATGTTAAATGTGTGCTCTCCTGGTAAGTTTAATTAGAATGCTCTGTGGTACTAATTCAAAGATACTGAAAACGCCTGAGAAGTATTGCCTTTGTACAGCTACACGTATTAAATTCATACCTATGATCTGTACCTTCATTCTTTAACCTGTTACCACTGGAACCCACAGAGCTTTATTCTTCATCGCTTTGCCTGAAACCAACATCCGGTTGATAGCAACATTACAGCATTTCTATTTAGGCGGTGCTGCAAAGCTTTCTCCTTGGTAATTACACACTTGCAAAAGCAGATTTTTGACATTTTATGCTGTAGTATTGGGAAATAAACCTAAGTTACGACCCAACGCCCGGTAAAAGCACGGCTTTAAAACGTAAAAAAGCTATTAACCATCCGCACCATCCCGTCACCGCCCCTCCTGCAGCTCCGCCCACAAACTGCCTCTCAGGGCTGCGCATGCGTACTCCGCACGAGCACCACACTAGGACGCATGCGCCGACGTTTCCGCACTTCAGGCCTGATTCACCCCCGCCCCTTCCCGCCTTCGCCATGGCGACACCGGGCGGCGTGATCCGGGCCCTGCACCGCGGGACCTTCGCACAGGTAACGACCTGCCGTTCTGTCTGCATCCTGCGCCGCGCGGGACATTCGCGGCCTCTCAGGCTGTGTGTGAGCTCGCAGCACAGACCATCCGCCGCCTGCCCAGCGTGCGGCCGGCCCTCCCTGTTACCGCCTGTGCGCATGCGCGGGGGCTGATGGGCGGTGCGGCATCTTCCGTCAGCCCGCCTCCAGCCGGTTGCTCTGGAGCGTTTGGGTCGCTACGGGGCCAGGAGACCAGGGGTGCGGGATTTAGATTTAGATGTAAGGAAAAAAGCTTTTTACAATAGGTGTGGTGAGGCACAGGGATGGGTTGGCCAGAGAGGTGATGGATGTCCAGTCGTTGGAGTTATTCAGGGTTGGGCTGTACTCTGAGCAATGTGATGTAGCCATAGGTGTCCCCGTTCATTGCAGGGGACTTAAACGAGGTGATCCTTAAAGGCCCCTTCCAATTCACGTGATTCTATGACTGTGCTTAAACTGCTTCATGTGTTTTGAGTGTAACCATAAGGAATTTTCTTCATCCTCCTGTACTAACTTGGTATATAAGAGTTACTGATTTATCTGGGAAAGGAGCAATCAATTGCACTGATTGCATTTGGAGAGATTCCTGAAGCAATCATCCAGGTATACAGGAAAGCACCCAATGAGCATGCAATTTGGAGTCATCCTCCTTCACAAAGTTTGCTTTCTGTGAGCTATTTGCTTTAGCAATCTGATTCTTTATACAGCTTGACATCTGACATGCCAATGAGTGGAAGAATTAATGTATTAATTAATATTGCAGGACAAGGGGAAATGGTTTTCACAGAATCATAGAATTGTAGGGGTTGGAAGGGACCTCCAGAGATCATCGAGTCCAACCCCCCTGCCAAAGCAGGTTCAGCAGGTCGCACAGGTAGGCACCCAGGCAGGTCCTGAACATCTCCAGGGAAGGAGACTCCACCACCTCCCTGGGCAGCCTGTTCCAGTGCTCCGTCACCTCACTGTAAAGAAGTTTTTGCGCACATTCAAGAATCAAGAATCAAGAAGTTGTGCGGAACTTCCTATGCTGCAGTTTCCAGCCGTTTCCCCTTGTCCTGTCTCCACTCACCACTGAAAAGAGTCCGTCCTTGCCATTCTGCCCCCCCACACCTTAGGTATTTATAGACCTGGATCAGGTACCCTCTCAGTCTTCTTTTCTCAAGGCTGAACAGACCCAGTTCACTCAGCCTTTCTTCATAGGAGAGATGCTCCAGGCCCTTCTCCATCTTTGTGGCCCTCTGCTGGACTCTTTCCAAGAGATCCCTGTCTTTTTTGTACTGGGGAGCCCAGAACTGGACGCAGTACTCCAGATGAGGCCTTACCAGGGCAGAGTAGAGGGGGAGGATCACCTCCCTCAACCTGCTGGCCACGCTCTTTTTAATGCACCCCAGTATGCCATTGGCCCTCTTGGCCACAAGGGCACACTGCTGGCTCATGGCCAACCTGTCGTCCACCAGGGCACCCAGGTCCCTCTCTGCAGAGCTCCCCTCCAGCAGGTCATCCCCCAACCTGTACTGGTGCATGGAATTATTCCTCCCCAGATACAAGACTCTACACTTGCTTTTGTTAAACCTCATCTGTTTTTTTCTGCCCAGCTCTTCAGCCTGTCCAGGTCTCATTTTAAATTTTGGGAGGGGAGATTTAGGTTGAATGTCAGGGGGAAATTCTTTACAGAGTGGTGAGGTGCTGGAACAGGCTGCCCAGAGATGTTGTGGATGCCCCGTCCCTGGAGGTGTTCAAGGCCAGGTTGGATGGGACCCTGGACAGCCTGGTCTAATATTAAATGGGGAGGTTGGTGGCCCTGCCTGTGGCAGGGGGGTTGAAGCTTCATGATCCTCGAGGTCCCTTTCAACCCTGCGATTCTGTGATTAAAATAGTCTCATGCGGATAATACTAATGTTGCCTCATCTCAGGGAATATTTGTTTTCTCTATCTGGACACTTGCCTTTTTCATGAAAATCACCATCCACATCCTGACTGATGTTCTATGTTTCTGAAATGGAACACTTCATCTAGAATAGGTGTCAGGGCAGATGCATTTCAGGTTGCTTGTGAGGAGAAGTAGGAAAAGTGGAAGATGAAATATGACTTTCATTTTCTCACTGTTGATGTCTCTGTGACCTTGCAGAAACTCTGTCTATTTCTCCCAATCATAAAATTGTAATTCTGAAAACTTCAAGTGAAAAACATAGTAATACACAAAAGAGTTGTGTATATTTTGGTAAGCCTGAGTAAACCACAAGTTGCAGGGATGTATGAATGATTTCAGAACTAGGAATTTTAAGGTTATATTTTAAAAGTGAGAGCACATTTCAGTTGCTTATCAACACAGTTAATGGCATGCAAATGCCTTTGACTGCTCTATCTTATAGGAGTATTTTATTTTATTTTTACTCTTATTTTATAGAGGAGTAGTCTGAGGAGGCAGAATGGGATGGAGAGGAGAACCTGTTATCCCATAGAAAACTTTCATAAGTAGTATTTCACTTAGTAACTGAAGGCTTCTTATGATTTACTGGAGGTTAGTATGGATGAGAAATAAGGTTTTCATGTATATTTTAGATTTTTGTTGTTTCAAAAATAGTTTATGTGTAAGACTACTCTGAAGTCTTGACGTGGGATACTCAATAAGCTTGTTAGCTGTTTCCATTCCTTTAGGTGTTCTGATTTTATGTAAATCTTCCTAGCTTTGTCACACTTCAAGTTTTGAATACAGTGTCCCTGTAATTTGCCAAAGCAAGCAAATGCAGATCTTGCAAAGGTGCCTCAAATGTCTCCTCATTTTTAGAATAGGAAACTCCAAAATAGTAAAAAGGCTTGTATGTCTTTCCAACTACTGCTGGTAGCTCTTTGGGATTCACTTGGTATCCTAGCAGATAACCTCTCCTGCTGTCATTCCTCTAGCAAAGGCTCCTACATAATAGACAGGTGTGCTCAGAGCAGACTTGGCTTTGTGATAGCTATTCTCTCTGACTTGAATTTCTGCTGTTGCTCTAAGTAGCTCATCAGGATTTTTATCACCTGTTTACTGTTATCTAATTTACATGTGGTCTGTATGTGAGAATGTACTTCCTTTGTATTATCATTTAAATCTTTTAATTTAAAAGCCAAGAAGCTCAAAGTTAGTGTTGTATTGCTGTTTGTCCCCAGACACTCCCTCAAACAGCAGTGGAACTTTAAATTGTTATTCTGTTTTCAAATTTGCAAGTCCAATATGCTCTGGGCTTTTGTCATTTTCCTCTCACTATAAGTGCCCTCTTATGGCTATCTGGAATGAATTGCACTCTATTATGAAGAAAGAAAAACTGTCTTCTTAATTTACGCTCTTCCTATTGCCAGGCTTAGTGTAGTTCAACTATTGACAGCTTGGAATGCATCATATATCTGCTGTGTGCTAATGAAGAATATTCAAATTTGAAGCTGGAAGTGCATTTGTCCTCAAGTTTCAGCAGTATGTACTTATTGTCGCCCTTAAAGATTTGATGTTTTAAGCATTTGGCAGTCCTGTCATGGTTACTAGAAAACACAATTTCTGTGATTTCAGCTGTGTTTCACTGGAGTGTGCAGTCCATCAGGCTAGGTTTAGCTGGCTGTGGAAAAATTTATCTACCTAGTGTTCTGTGTATTTCTGCTACACAGCTAGAACATGCAACTAATATATATACCTAAGAAGAAAATACCATTTGTTGGAAAGATTAATTATATTTTGAGTATCTTGAATTCTGAGACCTTCTTTTCAAATTCCTTGATTTATTCTTCATCAATGGGAGATCTTTTCATCAAGTTTGTTTCTTTGATGAGGCGCTCTTAAAAACAGTAACTAATAGGTACATCAAGGAATTACAGATAAAATTCTTAGAAATCCAAATAAACTGTCAGTAGGAAAATTTAATGTAAGGTAAGTCAGTCAGGTGTTGGTGTATGACCAGATAGCACGTGAATTAGCAGAGATCTAGTGCTGTCAGCAATGCTCTAGTTGTTGCTATCAGTGTAAGTGTATATGGGTACCGATGAAAAAATCTATGTGAATGAGGTAAATATATGAACTGTTTACAGTAAATGGGAAGAAAATCTCGCTTGTCAGCATTGCTACCAATGCATGTGGCTAAGTGCCAGGCATTTTTGTACAGGTGTGAACTTAAGCTATTGAACAGCTATCTCTTCCCTGTACCCCACAGTGGCCTTCTAAATTAGTCAGGGATAAGTTCAGTAAGCATTGTACATGTCCCCTTCATATACTGGAGCCATTTGACATTTTGATCTACATTAATCTTGCTACAGAACGTGTTTGATACATCTAGTTTACTTCTGATGTTAACTCAGCAAAGTTGAAGATTTATATGGTCTTGCTTCTGATTATAGGTTCTCATACATCACTAGCTTGCATTCCAGGCTCACAGCTGGAATCACAGAATGGTTTGGATTGGAAATTACCTTAAGAGCCCATCCAGTTCCACTCCCCTGCCACTCAAGGCACTCATCCAACCTGACCTTGAACGCCTTGGGAATGGGACATCACAAGATTCTCTAGGCAGCCTATTCCAGTGCCTCTCCACCCTCTAGTGAAACCTACTTTTAGATGTTATTTGCCTTCCTGAAGGTGTCAGGAGCTTTTGGCACCGTTTTTCTTTTCTAGTAGCAAGGCAGTCATCACTGCTAATGTTACTGTAAGAATATTGCAATACCTTTGTGACCTTTCATATTGAGAGCATCATTTAAAGTAAATAGAAACATTTTATTCTGCTGCTTTTTTTCCTATCCTGGTCTTCCTTCTTTTATAGGTAAGCTTTCCCTGGCCCTCACATGTTCCTCTTACTATGGCAATATCATTACTGCTGAGTTGTATGCCTAATGTGTCTTGAGGCTAAAGTTGGACTCTTAGTCTGGCATGCTTTGCTGTTAACAAATCTATGTTTGCTGTTGTTTTTTTTTGACTGTTTTTGAGCCTGCATGTTGTTCTTTTTTTTCCCTGTAGTTATATT